CTTAAATAATCGAAGTATTTTTAAGGTCAACTGACTTGAGACTTTATCCCTTTACAAAATCCCTTCACAGCAGTATCTAAATGGGTGTTTGATCCAATAACTGGAGGATAGGAATCTTAGGGTGCAACTTTGGAATTCTGCCTTATACAAGAGCTGAAATAAGGAAGCCATATCTAGCCCTAAATAGAAAGGAAGTAAACCCATATGTGCCAAGCGCTTACCATGTGCCAGGCACGATAAGTACATTTTGGCATCATCCCCCTTCATTGTTTTAAGCAGCCTATAAGGTAGAGACTGTAATTCTCATTTTGCAGATTGGGAAATTACGACACAGATGGAGGAAGACATTTCCTCCAAGATTATTTAGTTGGTTGTGTTGAGTCAAACTCCCAAGCCAGATCTGTCTTGCTTACAGTGCTTCTTCCACTCCAACATTTCCTTCCCCCTTACAGGAAATGTGAATCATATAGTGAAACTCAGGTTGGTCTTGAACTTACAGGGAGTTAGGGGCTAAAATTAGGCCTCCTGACTCCTACTTCCATATTTCTGCTACTCCCCACTAATTAATTCCCCTTGTCAACTAAGATACTAGAGACAGGAATTAAGCATTAAAATATTAAGTTTTGAGAGGAGAGAGCTCCTGAATTTAAGGCAAGGAGCTTGGTTACCATTTAACCCCCTGCCCTGGAATCTAAGAAGCTTCCCCTTTAGTTCTACGCGGGCACACATTTCTAATTCAGATCTATCTCAATGGGCTGAGAGTGGTGAGAGGCAGACCCAGTCCCTAAATACACTCAGCAAGAACTGAAGATCAAAGGCAGAGGATAGGACTGAGATAGTTTCACTATTCACCTTTGCTATGGCAGAAGAGCTGAAACTCTCAAGAGTTGTTTGTGAATTCAGACATGCTTTTCTTGCAGGGAAACCAGGAACGTGCCCTAAAGAGAGACTCAAGTGTCAGACTAAAATTAAAAACTCATGTGCAGAGGATTTTGGCTGTGAGGAACACTTGAAGTGCTGCCAATTTGCCTGTGGGAAGAAGTGCATGGATCCATACGAAGGTAGTGGCTTCCAGGCTGAAGGCAGAGGTGCCATTTGAGGCACCTTACTTCTTACTGGTCCAGAACTGGCTGAACATTCCCTAGCATGGCAGGATAAAGAGGCCAGGGTTCGTGTTTTGCACCTTTTCTAATTAGACTCCCAACTTTCAAGTGCATGCTCACTGTGTGTCAGGAGACACACAATCCCAAATATAAACCTCAGTCAGCTTAGACGCTGGTGTTGTTGTTGGACTCTTTGGCTTCCAAGGAAGTTTTCTGGTAACTCAAGCTATTGAGCATCTAATAATAGGGAACTCTGCATTTTATATAAATCCACTCAACAAATATCTATTGTCAATGTCTTTTGCCCAAAGTCCACCAGAAACACACCTGTAATTAAACAAGTTGGGTTTATTACTCATTGCAGTCAGGGAGAACGTTCATCACAGACAACCTGAGGCATCTCACTAAGAAGCTGTTAGAAAGAATCTACTATGGGATTGAGGCTTTGATAGGGTTATTTCAGGGACAGTCTAAGGAAGTGGGGGTTGGCTCTAGAGTGGATGCTATCAGAAAGGGGGGCAATTCTATGAGTACCTCGGTGAATCTTACCTACAGAGAGGACAGGCTAGATTAGAATGAGGATAGAGTGTAGTCAGTAGAGAAGCATAAATCACTCAAAGGTGCTTGTTATTTTGTGGGTTTCACAGTGATTTTTATTTTTTGGTTCAATTTATACTGGTCTCAGAGTGACCTTGATTGATGTGGCTGTTCTGTGAGATTGTTTATGTCCTACAGAGGAACAACATGACTTCGTTGTGAGCATCAGGTAAGTTTCCAGTCATGAGCGGGTGCTTTTATTTTTTTTTTCTTTCTCAGTATTTTAATGCTCCTATGTGTCAGGCACTGTCTTAGGCACTTTGGATATAGCTGCTGAACGAGTCTTGCCCTCCCAAAGCTCAGAGAAGTGGAAATATCAGCTCCAAAGCATTCTCGTGTACTCATTATGATATCCTTTGCAAGGTAGAAAAGATGCTCAGAGATGCTATTCACTACAGAGCATTTGTAGTAGAGCGAAGACTAGAAGTTTTATTGACCATGGCTCTTTCTATGATGTGAATGGTAACACCATGAATTATAAAAATGCTGAGGGCCTGACCCCTTCCCTCTTTTGCTACCTTTCATGTTTTTCCCTCTTTGCTTCTTGCCCTCAGAACCCTGCATGCTATCATTAGATCAAGGAAACTGTGATCGTTTTGATAGGCGCTGGTATTATGATTTAAAAAATTTATTATGCAAACCTTTTAAATATGGAGGCTGTGATGGAAATTCCAACAACTTCCTCAGCAAGGAAGACTGCATGAAGGCTTGCTCGTTAACTGGTAAGACTAATATCCTTGGCAATCTGAGGGCCTAGTCTAACTAGAAACAGAAAACCCACACTGCTAAAGGCTTAGACTTTGAGATTATCTGGATCTCATAAATGCCTCACATTTAACTTGTCTAAAATTGAATACCTTAACTCTCCCATCTCAAACCTGCCATATCTATAGATCACCCCATCTTAGTTGTAAAAAACAACAACACCAAACTCCTAAATCACCCATAATATCTTTCTTTTCCAATCAACATCCGTTTAGTTAGTAAAATAGATCTCGGAGTTGACTGCTTCTTCCTACCTCCACAGCTGCTACCCTGGTAGGAGGTGTCATCTTCTCACCTGGATATGGCTTCAGCCTACTCACAGGTCTCCATGCTTCTATCCTTCCCCTTTTACAATCTATTATCCACACAATAGCCACAACGGATCCTTTCAAAATGTGACTGTCCTGTCACTCCTCATTCAAAGTAAAACCAAATCCCCGAAAATGGCTTACATTGATTTGTGTAGATCTCACATAACACTTCCATTTTACTGGTATAGGAGAAACTGAAGCAGGACTGGGACTTTATCTTGGGGCTTCAAACACCAATCCTAACTCTTTGTCTATTGCATCCCATAAAATGTGAGGCATTTCATTCCTCCACAGCCCACTACCGTAGGCAGAATGAACCAAGTCACAGAAATACTAGTTTTGAAGAGGAGAAGTTGCTTGAGGGTGGGGCAATGGGATGGGGTTTTAAGGAGCTCATATCTGCTCTTGTTTTAGTCAAGAAAGGACAGTGCCCACTCTTTCCTTCCAAGAACCGTATGGAATGTTCGGGTTCGTGTAAGAGTGACAATGATTGCGCTGACAAAGAAAAATGTTGTGAATCCATGTGTGGCTTTGTTTGTTCCGTCGCCTGGGTAGGTGAGTACCGGGTATGCCTCCCAAAGGATATGAGCTGAGGATGCTGTGCTGTGTCTTGGTTAACCTTAGAGTTCTCTTGAGAACCTTTCCCCCTTTAATACCCAAACAATGCGCTCCTGTTGCCCCCCTGATCTCAGGAGACGATTGTGCTGTTCTTCAAAGTCAGTTCTGTGTGTCATCACTCCCCATTTTCCCCATGAAAACTCATTCACTCTGAATCTCTTTCTGCAACAGCCTACAAGGTGACAGGATGCACTTATTCATACCAAAAAATCACAACCATTGAGTATATTCCTAGTAAGTCTGCAGAGAACTTCAGAGCATGCACAGCATATTCACACCCTGTAAGGTGTGCTAGGGAAAAGATTGGTAGCAAAATATGTTGGGCTAGAAGTAAACTCTCCAGCCTCTAAGGCTAGTGTTCATCCCCCCCCCCCCCCCCCGCCATCCCCACTGTTCAGATGGTATGATCTTGTCCCAGGGATTGTCAGTGTCTTGAGGAACAGCATGGTATGATGGAAGGAGTCAAGTCTTTTCAACTGACTTCAACTTTTCTGTGTGGGCTTAGGCAACTCACTTCCCCCTCTATGGTCCTCAATTTCTATAGTTTATAAAACAAGGAACTTCTGGTAATCTCTAATACTCCTTCTACCTCTGGTACTATGGAATTAGATAACCCAAATCCATTAATTCTTTAGGGACAGGTAGAAATACTATCAGATTTTATAAGTAAGAGATGGCAAAACTTTTTGATGTCCCTCAAAATTATTAGCCATAGAAAGTTGATACTCTGCTTCCTTCACTCTATTGTTATGCTAGGGGGAAAGATAAAAGGCTTAATCAGAAGAAAATCCTTTTTAGGGTTCCCAAGAGACTCCAAATTTGTCTCAAACTATGATCATGTATTTATTTTTTAATGATTTTTCAATTTTATAAGTATTAGCACAATAATTATGGTTAATCCAGGATAATGTGAAATATTATACAGTGGGGCCTTGACTTACGAGTGTTTGGACTAACGAGTTTTTAGAGATATGAGCCGTCTCTCGGCCGATTTTTTGCTTTGAGTTGCAAGCTAAAATTGGGGTTACAAGCCAGCTTCAGATACCCCACCGCTAGTTGGTGCAGCGAACGTCACAGTGTATGCCACAACATCAGCCCAGCATCATGTGTCTCACTCGTTCACTGTTGATTTGACATACGAGTAATTTGAGTTACGAGCTCCGTCACGGAATGAATTAAACTAGTAAGTCAAGGCCCCACTGTAGTTACATGCTGATTCTATTTAATAAAAGAGTAATATGTAAATGAACCATCAATCCGAGACAAAGATGGCAGTGCCCATAGTGGCCAGGGAGGAGCGCTGGTGGCGTCACCCCGGGAATGCGAGCCCAGTGTCTGTGCTCTGGCCATGCGAAGGGAGAGGAGGGGAGGGGCCTTGGGCCAGAGGCCAGGGTGAGGGACACTGGTGTCGTTGCAGGCTGGGCTGAGGGACAACCCTCCCCCATGTACAAATTTCGTGCACTGGGCCTCTAGTCTTATAATAAAAGAGATAAAAGCTGTGATAGTTTTATTTTTTTATGATCAAGTATTTAAAGTTTAAGTATCTTGTTGTATCCCATAAAGTCAAAACAGGTTCCTGCCCACAGAAGCCCCCAACATGTTTAAGGATTGATAAACCCAAGTGCCAGAGAGATGAGGATTGCCAGTTGGGGGAGAAGTGCTGCTCACGCTGTGGACTAAAGTGCCTGGAACCTCGAGCCTAGATAGTAAGTACAAATATTTTCTTTTTTACAAATTTATTGATTGATTTTTAAACAGAGAGAGTGAGAGAGAGAGAGAGAGAGAGAAACATCAGGTTGTTGTTTCACTAGTTGTACATGATTCTTTTTTTTAATATATTTTATTGATTTTTCACAGAGAGGAGGGGAGAGGGATACAGAGCCAGAAACATCGATGAGAGAGAAACATTGACCAGCCGCCTCCTGCACACCTCCCACCAGGGATGTGCCTGCAACCAAGGCACATGCCCTTGACTGGAATCGAACCCAGACCTCTCAGTCTGCAGACCAACGCTCCATCCACTGAGCCAAACCGGTCGGGGCTGTACATGATTCTTATATGTGCCCTGACCCCATGCTTTATAGAATTTTTTCTTTTCAGACATTCTGGAATGAAAGAATTTGGCTGCTGCTATTTTTATTAGAATTTTTTTTACACCTGCTTCCCCCCTTCCTAGGCTATTAATACAGATAGTTATTGCTTTTGTCCCTCTGAAATTCCTTCTAAGAGCTGAGCACTAGGGGGACAATGTTCACTCACTTCATGCTCTAGGAACTGGTACATGGGATTGATGACATCACTGGTGAACCATTCATCTAGCAGGAGGATGATAATCCTGAAGCAGTTGCTGCCAGGCTAAGAAAGTACAAGGATGTGGCAAAGCCAGTCATTAAACTATACAAGAGCCCAGGAGTGTTCCACCAATTTTCTGGAATGGAGACTAACAAAAGCTGGCCCTGTGTTTACATGCTTTTCTTGAACAAGATCACACCTATACAATCCAAAGAAGCATACTGAGTCCACCCAGTGGAAGAACCACGAAGATGTGGTTCTTTCAATTATATGTGTAGTTTTGGTGTGGTGTCCCAATTAGAAGCTAGCTGAGCTAGCTTGCAGTGTCTTCTAGTACAAATGGTGAACTGATTTGAAAACTAATGAGTAGAAAGAGTTCATGAGGAGGCTCTTAACTGCCTTTCAAAAGAAGGGTCACCTATACATGTTGAAGATATCTCTGCACATGTGTCAAGCCATTCACAAGGAAGCAAATACAGGCTGCATTTCAAACATGTATAACCCAAGCTCTAGCTGATCTGAGAGTCATGCTGTTGTCATAGTAGCCATGATGGTGGTGGTCTTTGGGTCTCCCCCATCTCCTAAAGGCTGTTGAACCATAGCACCAGTAGACGTGAGAATGCCAAGGGCTGTAGCCTGGGGTTTGTCCCATGTTCTCTGGTATGTGCCCCCCTGGTGACAATGAGGGTGAAGCCAGTTGCTTTCAGTGGTCGATTTTATGACCTTGAGTGACTGTGTCCACAATTCATTTTTCTCTCTCTTAGGAGTAACACCTTCTTTTCTGCATCCATGCTCCACAGAATCTCTTTTTTTCAGACATTCTAGAATGGAAGAAAGATTTCTGCTTTTTATTTATTTTTATTTTCTTGGTTAACCCTCACCTGAGGATATTTTTCCATTTATTTTTAGAGAGAGTGGAAGGAAGAGGGAGAGACAGAGAGAATCAACTATGTAAGAGAGACATATCAATTGGTTGCCTCCTGCACACACCCCCACCAGGGCCAGGGAACCTGCAACTAAGATACATGCCCTTGACTGGAATCAAACTCGGAACCCTTCAGTCTGCAGACCAATGTTCTACCCACTGAGCCAAACCAGCTAGGGCTCTACTATTTTTTATTAGACTGCATTTTTTCCATTTCTGTTTCCTCCCTCCCTAGGCTATTAATACAGATACTTACTGCTTTTGTCCCTCTGAAATTTCTTTCTAAGAGCTGAGCACCAGGGGATGATACTGAATTGTTCGCACACCAGGAACTGAGTTCTGCGGAGGGTATACTTAAACTGCTGCTCTGATTCTCATGGGGAATACCATTTCTTTCATTTTTGTGAAAACATAAAATCCACAGCGTCTTTAGGAAATCCTCAAAAAAGAAAAAAGAAAAGAAAAGAAATAGGCACGTACATAATGTGAAAAGATCCTATTTTATGTATAGATGCAATAAGACCATATGGAATTACTGAACTAAAAGAATAATTTAGTTTTTTATTCAAGATTTTAAAAAGCTTATTTTGAAAATATTGCTAAATGTTGATGCTGACAGTGTTTTTCTCCTGTGAGTAACCTAAGCACATAATAAGTAGTTAGTAAAGGGAATGGAACCCATGGAGTTGAGGAAACATGTTTTGCTGGCTGTGCCTGGACTAAATATGACAGCTTTACAATTATGAGAAAACAAAAATCTTAATTTTTTTTCTATTCCAAAGATTCCAACCTGCTGGAGGTCTTTGCTCAAATCATAAAGACCACAAATTTCCAAACGAGTTACAGAATAGGCATTCTTAAGTAGTTATTGTTTACTGGTACTTCATGCTAAACACATTACATGCATTGTCTAATTTAATCCTCAACAATTAACCCAAATTAATAGATATTATTTCAATTTTCTTGCCTCCTTGTATTTAAACACTGAAATAATTCTGTGTGTGTTTTAATCCTCACTCAAGAATATTTTTTCCATTGATTTTTTTTTTTTTTTTAGAGAGAGTGAGAGGAAGGTGGAGGGGGAGAGAGAGAGGGAGAGAAACATTGATGTGAGAGAGACACATTGATTGGTTGCCTCCCAATGCACCCTACTAGGATTGAGCCCATAGCTGAGGCACGCAGCCTTAATTGGGAATCAAAACCTAGACCAGTGGTCGGCAGCTCACGAGCCACATGCGGCTCTTTGGCCCCTTGAGTGTGGCTCTTCCTAAGCCTTAGGAGTACCCTAATTAAGTTAATAACAATGTACCTACCTGTATAGTTTAAGTTTAAAAAATTTGGCTCTCAAAAGAAATTTCAATTGTTGTACTGTTGATAGTTGGCTCTGTTGACTAATGAGTTTGCTGACCACTGCCCTAGACCCTTCGATCTACAGGCCGACACTCAAACCACTGAGTGAACTGGCCAGAGCTGAAATAATCCTGTTTATGTGAAGTTGTGTTTTTATGTACCTACAGGGATTAATCAGAAAATTCAAAAGGCACTGCTTGGTACCTTCCTTTAGTTTGAGCTCTCCATTCTTATTAATAGGCGAAATGGTGTATTTGCTCCCTCCCGGGATCTTTGCTTTTGGCGCTCTGGTGCTAAGACAGGAAATGGGTTTCCTGGTGGTAGTTGCACCCTGTATATGCAGAGGGCATATGTCTCAACTCTGCTGCATTACAGGATCTTGGGAGGCATCTGTATCTACCTGATGAATTTCATTCATTACCTTTCATTTAACAGACAGCATCTTTTCTTGCTGCAGTTAATTTTGCCAGGGAAACTATTCATAAATCAGTCATTTTCACAGTATGAATTGCTTTCTCTCTCTTCCTCTCCATTTTTAGTAACTTCCTTATCTATTTGGTTTTTCAACAGAAGAGCCCAGTGACGGAGACTTCTATTAGTACAGAAACGTGGTCTGGACATAAGTTCTCATCCCTTTCTGTATATAACTCAGCCAGTTTGGTTTGCAAAGGAAAAGAGTGCAAGACCCAGGTGTTGGGAAACCATGAAGCCGTATTTCAACTACAAAGAAAAATCTGCTTCCTGCATCTGCTGCGATGGATTATAATGATGATTTGTAAATGCCATACCGTATCTTTCCTTAACAAATCGCACAATTCTGGCCCAAACAAATGCCCTTCTCTGTATGCTTCCGCAAATTCCCCGACATAATTAGTGTGTGTGTGAGAAAGAGGTAGAGATGATAAAACATTTCCAAACGGGAGAGAGTTTTTGTATGGCATAGATAGTCCTTTCTTCCTTAGTGATAATTAGGCTGTTCCAGGAGGCATCATTCTTGAAATAAAAGATTCTCTGTGTAAACTTTCCAAAGGAGCAGTGCACCTAGGAGATTCTCCCTGGCGTTAGTGTGTGTCTAACTTCATTTCATTAAATCTTTCTCTTTTTTTTTTTTTCTTTTAAACTCTGGCTGTAAAGACAAAAATGTACTAAATAGAAACAAACTGGTTGGTATTTAACTTAAAGAAGAGTAAAGGGAAGAAAAACAAAAACTCAGCCTTTATGTAAGCTCCGAGGTGTCAGGGCTTGAGGGCTCCTCTACTTTTAGGAGAATTTGTACTGCTGATGTTTATATACTTTTGGTTTTGAGATGAACAGATCTCTGGGGAAACTGTCAAGTTCCAATGGCATTTCACCGTGATTCCTCTCAAGCTCAAATCAGTTCTCTCACCTCATGACAACTTGTTTCTGGTTTACTGTCCTGGGAAATGTCAGCTCCACTTTCCCAGAAGTCACGTGCTTATGACGAATCCATGTGAAAACCATCACCCCTTGATTTGGGTGTATGTGCTTAATTCAAAGTGTCTAAACCTAATCTGTAAATGCTCTTCTAACTGTTCATGGTATTGTTGATTACTTTGATTATCTTGTTTGAGGATGATTCAAACTTTTTAATTTGATAGAAATAAATTTTTTTTCTGCTTAAAAAAAAAAAGAAAGAAATTCTGAGTTTTCATTTACTTTCCAGAAAATGTAGAGACAATTTCACCATGATTGGGAGCCCTGGGAAGTATTTGGACACTTACAGACTCCATGGGTCTTTAGCCCTTGCCCCTCACTAAGGACATAACCTTCATTCTCTTTGGACCCACTATTCCTCTCTACCTTTAACTCCATAGTAAAATATTATATTCACATCAATATTAGAAAATTCCCTGGTGACCTGTGGTAAGAACTTAGACACTCAGCTCCCTCTTAACGTCATGTCTGACACTCACCTGCTGGGTGACACTGAGTCAGCCTCTTTCACTTTTCTGGACTTTAATGATCCCTACCTGTAAGATGAGGACATGGGACCTGGTGGGCCCTCAGAGTCCTTCCATCTAGGAATTTTAGCTTTTTATTCCCTCCGGGGCTAAGTTTGGGAGAATGCAGGTAGTAGAATAAGAGGGACAGGACTGCGTAACACATCTTGGTTGTTCATTAAAAATTCTCTTCCTTAGTCTCTTTGTGGGATCTAGTGAGACTGTGAAGTTGGTGGGATGGGATTGTGTAGTACAAGTGTCTGACATGTTTTATAGTTATGTAAGTAAGCTTTTGATTGCCAAGGCATTCATTTCAAAGACACTCACCTCTAGTAAACATATTGTCAGCTATAAGACATAGCTGTGAGCAAAATAACTAGATAAAGAACCAGGCTGCCTTTTAGAAAGCCCTGAGTAACCTAGATAACTGACACTTGAGTGGTCCTGCTTTTCCCTTCCCATATTCTAATTCCCACTGTTATGCTTTAAATTATCTAATAGAGTGAACTATGAAACCCCAGACGTGGACGTTAATAAAGACAGAGCCCAGGTTCACACTTTCTGCCCCTCTCTCTGCCCTCAACCTTGCTGTGTGGCCCTCCAGCCTGCCATGTACCCTTTGGGACCTGTGAATAATAAATATTGTTCTTCCAAAGTTCCCTGATGGTTTAGTAGTGGTGGGTCCTGCAATCATAAGAAGAATCACAGGGCTGGTCCAAGCACCACATTGGTCCTGGTGGTGGTAGGGGGAATGTCTGTGGGGCTCACTACATGAGTGAATATAGCTGCCCTAGTGCCTTAGGCATTCCTAGTCAAGGACATCACTATCCATAGGCTGAGGGGCTCTGCCTTTGATCTTAAATTTTGTGACCAGATAGTCACCCACTGATGACAAGGCTTCTGTCCACCAGGTAGGACAATGGGAGAACAAAGCTTGTCCCAAAAGTGCAATACCTAGTTAGGAAAGGGAATAGGAACCTTAGAGATGACATTAACTCTTTGAAGAGTGTCTCCCTCTATAAGACTGGTTGACTGGCTCATGTTTTGGATTCCGTGGCCATAGGAAAGCTTATCTTTCCAATGGCTCCTCCACTATTCCAGTTAGAATCCAACAACTCTGTTGTCTTATTGACCTTTATTGTATTGTTGCCTCTCAGGCAGATTTCTTCATTTGGTAGTTCTTCCTTAGACAACAGGGAGTTTGCACCAGAAGATAGCAGCTCTCTAAAAGCTTTGACATTCTCTCCTGTTCTCAAAGCAACACAACCTTGACAAACTCTGTCTGCAAACTCTATCAGCTGCTTCCTCCCCCACACCCTGCTCTGGGAAAACATATTTATTCTTTGGCCTTAGTCAAACAATGTAAGTGACCTAAAGAGAAAAGGGAGAGAGATGGGAGGAGAGTGTGGGAAAGGGAGAAAGAGACACAGAGATCATGGGAAAAAGAAAAAGTCAGGCAAAGGCACACAGAGACACAGAGAAGCAAAGAGATACCAAGAGATCAAAAAGACACATTGTCAGAAACAAAAGGGGTGTGCCAGTTAGTGTGCAGATAAAATGGAAAATGAATAGAGAATGAGGACATTCCACAACTCTCAACGTTATCAAGAAGACCCCATTCACTTCCAAGGTAGCCTGGAAAGTGAAACAAGCTTTGCCCACTTCTCTCACCCCTACCCCATAGCTGACCAGAGGACCCAGCCCAGCCCAGGGGGCTAAGAACCAGAACCAGGAGCCATCCAATAAGAGACCTTTCCCCAGGGCTGTGGGTTATAGCTGCCAGCTCGCTACATTGATAATCTCAGAAACGTGGCGTTCCCAGGAAAAAAAGAGGGTGGCTGGCTTGACTCCAGATCTCATATCCAAAATACTGACTACTGAAACAATAGGCTAGACAAAGGCAGCCAGGCATTTTTATGTTCTGGAACCACCAGACGGACAGGCCAGCTCTTCTTCAGAATGGTGTCTTCTGGACTTTTGAGGATCCTGGTGATATCCATCCTTCTAGAGAATGTCCAAGGATTTAGTCTGACTAACTTGTTCTCTCCAAGTAAGTAATGGGGTCTCAAGTAATAGAGTTACTTTTCACTATCTTAGCCTTGGTCCTGGGTTGGGAAAGGAGAGAGATATTTGGAATATTTCATCCTATTTCCCTCTCTGTTGAAGATCTCTTCTATGAATGCAAGAATGCAGAAAAGGCAACCCATACTGCCCCTTTGAAGTAGAGGGTCTTTCTTAGGGGAAGGTGGGGAGGAGCTGGGAAGACTCATAGAATATAACATTTCTGGGAGGGTCTATAGGAACCCTGGAGCTTAAGGGGCCTTCCTCTTACCCCACACAAAAATAGCTCCCTTTCTTGGGACATCATCCCTATCAATTCCTGATTATTTCAAATACAGTCCTATAAAGTAGTTCTGCACCCCAAAAGGTTCCTCGACTTTGGGATAAAGGACAGTATCCAGAAGTTCCTTTGAACTTAAGACAGTAATATTCCATGACTATATAGTAATAATGTTAATTGCTACCATTTACAGAACACTCAGAAAGTAGGGATTTAAAGAGAGGGATCTGGAGTCAGACTTGGTGGGTCCAAATTCTGGTTTCACCACTTAGTAGCCATGTAATCTTGGGCAAGTTACTTAAACTCCACCTACTTCAGTTTCCTTATCTGCCAAATGGGGATATTAATCAAACTATTATGGGGATTAAATGAGAGCTAATATGACTGTGTATTAGTTACTGTAATTACAGCTTTATATGTGTTGTCTCATTTCTTCCTCATAACTCTGTGAGGCTAAAATGATTTTACAAATGAAGTAACCAAGGCTCAGAGAGAGTAGTTGGTAAACCAAGAGTTAAGAATTTAAAAACCTAACTGTCTGATGCCAGGTTGAGTGGTATTAATCACTGTACAATACACCCCTCCCCCTCAAGAAGGAATTCCTGAACGGTGACTCCCTGACCCGGCCGAAATGACCAGATTAGCTCAGACCAGTGGGTTTTAACAGGGTGATTTTGCCTTCCAGGGGACATTTGCAAAGTCTGGAGACATTTTAGGTTACAACTGGGTGTGCTATTGGCATCTAGTGGGTAGAGGCCAGGGATGCTGCTAAACATCCTACGATGCACAGGACAGCTCTTCTCTCCCATCAAATAATTATCCAACTGGAATGTCACTAGTATCAAGGATGAGAAATCCTACCTTAGACGGGCTGGGCTGATGGTGGGACTAGGGATGGGATAAGAAGGTAGAGAGTGAGGGATGGTCAGGAAGGAGGGTATTGCAGGCAGTGCTGGGAAATACATGAGGACACCCTGAGGAAAAGGACTCCTGGGAAGAGCAAAGTAAAAGCACATTTCCCTGACTCCCCAGAGTTGCCTTGGGTCTGGAGAGGATGGGCACTGTGCCCTCCATGACTCATGGTTGTAAAACTGTCTCTTCCACAGGGAGATGCCCCAGAATCCGAGAGAAATGCCAATTCAAAGAAAGGGATGAATGTTCGAAGAACAAAACCTGTCCGGACAAGAAGAAGTGCTGTGTCTTCAACTGTGGGAAAAAATGTTTAGACCTCCAACAAGGTACTATTCAGAGCCTCTGAATAACCAATCCTTCTACCCAAACCCTCACCGTCTGCCCAGTTGGGCTGGCTTTGTCCCTGGTGTGCTAAGGGTAGGTGTCTGAGCAACACTGCTGGACTTGGGAAACATGGGCTCTCCATTCATCTCCGCCCCTAAGATGATGTCTGACATTAGGTAATGTCTTCATTTTGTCTGGGCTTCGCTTTCCCCTGCAAAGGGGGCAAGGGTGTGATGATAGTCTCTTGGCTAGTTTCCACTCACTCTTTTGAGTCCCCAGTGGCCATTGTTGGCCCACCATATACCAACATTGTTGCTGCGAATGGTATCATCTAGCTTCTTGCTCTAGAGTGCCCGCCTCTCTGCCTAACCTGGTAAATCTAACAGCACCAGCAAACCTCCTCTGACCACTTCAGACTAGTGCCAGTTGGATACTGGAAATATCAGGGGAAACACTTTGTAAAGTATATGATTGTCTAACCACTATGCTGCACACCTGAAGCTAAGAAAAAGAGTGGCAGAGAGGTAGGCTGTGAGGAAGTGAAAATCAACAGGACTTAACAGTTCAGCTGAACTAGCAGTTTAGTTCAGACCTGTTTTGCTTTGCCAGGGCTGCTGAAACAAAGTACCACAGACTGGGCAGCTTTAGCAACAGCAATGTATTGTCTCACTGTTCTGCAGGCTAGAAGTCCAAGGTCAAGTGTTGGCAGCGTTGGTTCTTTCTCAGTTGTGTGCGAGAATCTGTTCCATGCCTCTCCCCTAATTGCTGGGGGTATGCTGGGAACGGTTGGCATTCCTTGGCTTGTAGACCTCTGTCTTCAACTTCACATGGTGTTCTCCCTGTGTGTGTCTCTGAACAAATTTCTCCTTTTTCTAAGGACATTGGTCATACGGGATTAGAGATGCACCCTATTCCAGTATAACTCCACTCTATTTCCAAATAGGGTCACATTCTGAGGTACTGAGAATTAGGACTTTAACATATAAATGGGTTGGGGGGTGAGGGGATGCAATTCATTTCATAACAGGAATGAAACTAACCACAAGAAGAAAGGGGGCTTGACCATCTGAAAAACTACTCTCGCCTTCCCTGCATTGGACTTGCACTTTACTCATGATCACATAGTCTCTTCTTGGCATGCTTTGGAGGGCAGAGTAAAGGGCTTATAATTTCTAATTTCCACACCTTTTATTTATTCGGGGCATGTTTTTTGAGCAGCTACTCTCTGCCAAGCGCTGTGCTCACAGCTGCACATTCAGATACAGTCAAAGAGCTGGCAACTCAGAGGGCCATGAGGGTGGCCTCAATGCCCTCAGGACGGCCCTGTGCAACAGGCAGGGTGAGACTTTGCATTTCCATTTTACAGAAATGGAAGTCGAGGACAAGACAGGTAATGTGGGAGGTCGATGGGCAGACACTAAATTAGGAAAAGAACCTTGAAGCCAGAGTCTCCTCACTCTCAGGGGAGACAATGGGGCCAGTGACCAGAAGGGAAGGGAGATACCGATGTTTCCCAGGGAGGCAGTTGCCCAAACAGCTCCACTTTAGGGTCTCCCTGCAAAGGTGCACAATACATAAATGGAGCTGGGCCCCACGGTGTGATAAGATGCAAAGGAGACGCTCGGTTTTATCCTATGGGGGTTGCCAAAGGGACAGTAACAGTTGTATTTTTTCAGGGTGGGCACTCTAAGTTCTCAACTCTGGGATCTCCCTGCAGATATCTGCAGTTTGCCGAAAAATCCTGGGCCCTGCATGGCTTTTTTTCGTCGTTGGTGGTATGATAAGAAAAATGATACCTGTTCCACTTTCATCTATGGTGGCTGCCAAGGAAACAATAACAACTTCCAAACCAAAGACCTGTGTCAGAATATGTGCTCCAAAAAACGTGAGTACCAAGGGCCTCGACCTCCCATCCTCACCAGGGCCACGTGGGAGGTCTGGGTGTTGGCTAGTCCATTCTAGGATGGCTGCATCCTTGGCACAATCAGCTTCAATCAGGAGGTAAGAATACATCTCACAGAGGGTTGGACAGGGGCTTAGTGGGAACTGAGACTGGGAAAAAAACGTGGTCATGAATCAAAGCTGGCCAGTATGAGGAGTGGAGGGAGGGTGCAGATGTGGTGAAATATCAGAGACCCAACTTCAGAGAGATCACATGACACCCAGCCTCGCACTGGGCATGTTGACCAACCACCCAGGCCATTAATTTCCAGACCATTAATTTCCTCATTACAATGTTTTGCTAGTAATCCACTCCCATCCACATCCATTTTTCCTCTAAGGAGATGTATAGCCTCCCAAAGTAAACTCACTTCTGTTTAATGTCCTGTGGAAATGTTCAAACACAACTTCAAGACTAGTTCTGAAGATAAGCCCAAGATGCTCAGCTGGTCTTGGTCTACATTGTCAACAGGCTTCTAATCCTGAATGCATACGGATTAACTGGAACACCACCAAGATTTGGCTCATGATTCAAGGCTCTGTCTGTGTGCCCCATCGGCACTCCAAGTTGGCTTCCTCTGTTCCACTCCCAGCATTCCAAGGCCTTAGCCCTTCCCAAGACTAAACCCCTGGATCTGCTTCCCCCTTCTTCCGTTTCAGTCTCTTTTCATATAAAATATCCTGTTTTGATCCCATTTCTAAAGTCCAACTTCTAGCACCCCCTGTTTATACCTATGTAGCTCCCAATTTTTCCCAATAAAATACTGTTTGATCCTGTGCCTCTAAGGCTGAATGACTCACATCTATTGGTACATTATGGTTTGCGGAGAGTAAAAGCTTACTGAGGCTTCTGAAGACACCATTAAAGGGAGTGAAGAAAATCAAAACCTTGAAAATTGATACCTCAGGGATATTGTTATTCTCCTCTGTTTCTTCAAAAAATTGCAAGACCCTTTTATGATAAGGGCTCCTGGGCATTGCCTTAGCTTGGATACCCCAGTAACTGATCCTAGGACAAGGGCATGGGTAAAAGTAGTTTATTTGGAAGATAAATGTGAGGAGTAGGTAAGTGATATAGGAAAGCAAGGAGTTGATAATGAGCTGGTTACCACTGTGCAAACTGTAGCTTAATTCTACTGGAGACCTTCCACAAGACCATGTAAAACATGTCTCCGTCTGTAGTTATAGGAAGCTGAGGTGTATATCCACTGATTCCCATATCCTCCTGGATGTCTGGGGGGCATGAAATCCCTCATTCTTCCAGGCTGTTCTGTATGGAATCTGAGCAAGCTCCCAGGAGCCAGAAAAAACTCTCAGCAGAGAAGTAGAGACTCTGATGCTTGAAGTGGAAAGCTATCAATATGCACTAGATATTATTCAGCCATAAGAAGGAAGGAAGCAAGAATACATGCCACACTGTGGGTGGACCTCAAAAACATTACGCTGAATGAAAGAAGCCAGTCACAAAAGGCCATACACTCTATGGTTCCATTTATATAAAATATCCAGAATAAGCAAATTCATAGAGGTAGAAAATAGATTAGTGGTTGCCAGGGGGTGGAGTAAGGCTGGGGGAAATGGAGAGTGACTGCTAATGGGTATGGAGTTTTCTCTTGTGATAAAAATGTTTTGGAACTAATAAAGGTGATAGTTACACGACATCATGAAGGTAATAAAAAGCCACTTAACTGTTCACTTAAAATGGTTAATTTTATATAATGTGAATTCCATCTCAATTATAAAAAATGGATTAGAAAAAATGTACATTAGAATTGCAGCTGCAGGTGAGCTGAGAATATGTCTTACTGATGCTTCAAGCCTTAAATTGGAAAGTTCAATGGAATAATCTTCAGGCCCCACCCATTGATGCAGCTGGTTCTGAGGTCATAACTGACATTTATTTACTATTTCCCTCCTGCTTCACCTATTCCAAACTGAACCCGATGATAGAAGCTCTCCGTTTGCCCTAACATTCTCTCCTGCTTTCAAAGTATCATGATTTTGATAGGCACTCTGAAGATATGGTTCAATCTGAATCAACCTTCTCCTCCCTTCCATGCTATTTGTGGCAGTAGCTTTACTCTTTGACGATGGTTAAAGAAAAGGGATGGCCCAAAGAGAAGAAAGGAAAAGGACCAGAGGGAAATAGAAGGGCAGGGAGAAAGAGACCCAGACCGTGAGAGACTCACAGAAAAAAAAAAAAAGAGGAAAAGACAGGGACAGAGTAAAAGAAAGAGGCACAGAGAGAAGAAAATGAACAGCGTGAGAAAAACAAGCAGACAGAAAAATAAACACGCCAGAAGAGTAAGTTTGGAAAGAAAGACAAGACCTAGGATACTCTTGACCTCCAAACTCTCCCTGAAAAATGAGAGACCTTGGAATCGAACATTCCCTCTGCTAAAGGAGTTTAGAAGCCCCCGATAAACTTTCTCTCTCTGGTTGACCAGACAGCCAGAGAGCCTCAGCTCACTTGAGGACTAGATGCTGCCTATCAGGAGCCCCTTCCCGCAGGGTTGGTGCTGTGGGTGTCAGCTAGTCCCATTCCTGGCCTCGGGGACTTGGCGTTCCTTGGAGGAGGGAGAGTAGCTGGCTGGTCTCCAGTGACGTGTACCTCTTGGAGTGTTAAGCTGTGTCAGGGCAGCCAAAAGCTCTGAGGTTGCTGCTTAGCACTTGTTCTTAGTTTTGGTGCCACCAGCCAGACCAGCCCCTCCTAAAATGGGGCTCTCGGGACTTCTGTCAATACTGGTACCGTTCATCCTCCTGGGGGGTGTCCAGGAACCTGGGCTGGTTGAGGGGTTCTTCAGTAAGTATTGGGGACTCAGTCCTCCCAGTGGAGAAATGGAACTCAGCTGGGAGGAAGGAACAAAGAATTCTACCCCTGAGAAATGCTTTCCCCCACCTCAGCCTGGGATCTTGGGCGGGATAGAGGGGAGATATTTGGAGTTTTCTTTTCAGGTAAGATGCCTCCGGGAATGCAGGAAACAGTCAGTGGCAATTGACACCCCCCCCCCACCCACCCACACCCCCACACCATCATTATGAGAGGAGATTTCACTTCCTGAAAGTGCCTGGACCTGGAGCTCATGAAACAAACTAAGGGAACTGGGAAGCTTAAGGGTCTTTTCCATATGAAAGGCCACTCCCCCTAGCACTACCCTTCCCATTGCAGGCCCCAAAAGTCTTCCCACACCCACAGGGGATCCTTGCCTTTGGGGTAAAGAATGGTCTCTGGAAGTCCCTTGAAATGCTGAAATATGAAGACCCTCATAATTAGCAGCTAAAACATACAGAGCATTCAGACCACAGTGGAGCCATACTTCATAGGTTCAAATCTTGGCTCCACTTCTTAGCAGCTGTGTGATGTTGGGCAAAGTTCTCCTAACCTCCCTGTGCTTTAGGTTCCTCTGATATAAAATGTGAATATTTTTATATTTTATCTTTATTGTTGAAAGTACTACAGATGTCCCTTTCCGCCCCCCCCCCCCCATTGACCCCTGCCTGCCCACTCCTGCTCTCCCCCCACCCCCAGGCCTTCATGGAACTACTGTCTGTCTCCACGGGTTATGCATATATGCATATAAGTTCTTTGGTTAATCTCTTCCAGTCCTCTCCCCTTTCTCTGAGAATCATCAGTCTGTTGCATACTTTTATGTCTCTGGATCTGTTTTTCAGTTTATATTATTTATTAGATTTCACTTATAAGAGAGATCATGTGATATTTGTTTTTCTCTGACTGGCTTATTTTGCTTAGCATAATACTCTCCAGGTCCCTCCATGTTGTCTCAAAGGGTAAGAGATCTTTCTTTTTTTATAGCTGCATAGTATTCCATTGTGTAAATAGACCACAGCTTTTTTATCCATTCATCTACTGATGGGCAGGCACTTGGGCTGTTTCCAGATCTTAGTGATCGTAAATAACTCTGCTATGAACATAGGGTTACATACATTCTTTCTAATTGGTGTTTCAGGCTTCTTAGAATATATTCCTAGACGTGGGATCACTGCATCAAATGGCAGTTCTATTTATAATTTTTTGAGGAAACGACACACTGTTTTCCATAGTGGTTGTACCAGCCTGCCTTCCTACCAGCAGTGCACTAGGGTTCCCTTTTCTCCGTATCCTCGCCAGCACTTGTTTGTTGATTCAGTGATGGTAGCCATTCTGGCAGGTATGAGGTGGTACCTCATTGTCATTTTTTTGTTTTTGTTTTTAATGTGCAAATTTTTATTTTAATTACTCCTATTTGAAGGTTCTTATTTTTGGACAACAGCAAGGCATTTCATTATCCACTCTGTAAAGGTTCCCACAGGGCAAATGCACATTATTCTCACGACTGTGTTTTGGAGTGACTCGGTGAGTCAGCAGATTCATCATCAATCCACCTCACCAGCCCTTTGTATCTTTCTACAACGTTGAAGCCAATACGGATTTAGGGGGCACTGGTCAGCTTCTTCCAAGTGCTTGTTCTAGGCATGCAATCCACTGGCAGGATCGAAGTCCAAATATGTGTCTAATTTCGTGTGCTAAAGTCTTACAGGACTGAAGCAGCAAAACACCAGTCTTACAGGACTGAAGCAGCAAAACACCGAGTAGCCACTTGAAGATTGTTTTCTGCGACACCTTCACATTGCCTTCATAGCCTGAGCTGTAGAAATCACTGCCATATCTGGCAAAGCTGAATATCCCCACACCATCTGTCAGAGAGGCCTGTCCAAAGACAACACTTCAGGAGTCTCTTGGGTGAAGACGAACCCTTGTTATTCCCGCAACACAGAAGTCATCCTCAGGTTTCTTCTTTTTTAGGAACTTCAGGATGTGCCCTGCATGTATTTGAAGGTTTTGTATATTATCATTGACTGTAAGGGAACAACTCATTGCAGAGACAGGAACTGGTTCTAGGCATTTTACTGTCAAGCCATAGAAAACTGCTTCACAGTAGCCCTTGAGCCATTTAATAGATTTTTCACTGATAATTCTGGTGTTTCCTAGAGATCCAGTGCACTGTATATAAATACTGTGTTTCTCTGGAGAAGGTGTCTTTCTGGAAGGAGCATTTGAAAACTCTTCAAGGTCTTGGGGAGGCTCAGGATGAGAGGTGATCCAATCTGAAGGAGAATGCAAGGTAATGGGTCCAAAGAGATCACTGGCTGGCTGGAAGTCTTCGTTCATCAAACACCACTCTGCAGCATCCACCTTCTCCTACTGGGACACAAGCACTGGGTTCTTTGAGATGAGAGCTGTTCTAAGTGTCTGTTCCGAGTGCCATACCATTTTCATAATGACAGGTCTCTTCCATTCACAACATGTTTTAGATAGAGCTTTCATCCTTCCACCACGAGGCTCACAAGAACAGGCGTGTCAGGGCCTGGTCTGGAAGGTGTTGTGCGGGGGTGCCTTCACCCCGCACCCTGCCTGGCCTGGGCAACACCAGACCGCCTGCCTACCACAGTGGCCCCTGTGCACTTCTCCTCATTGTGGTTTTAATTTGCATCTCTCTGAAGATTAGTGACGCTGAGCATTTTTTCATATGTCTCTTGGCCATTTGTGTGTCCTCTTTGGAGACGTGTCTATTGGGTCCTCAGCCCATTTTTTAATTGGATTGTTTGTCTTCCTTTTGTTGAGTTTTATGAGTACTTTATGTATTTTGGAAATTAACCCCTTTTCTGAGGTATCATTGGTAAACATGTTCTCCCATACAATGGGTTTTCTTTTCATTTTGATGCTCGTTTCTTTTGCTGTGCAGAAGCTTTTTACTTTTATGTAGTCCCATTTGTTAATTTTTCCCTTTGTTTCGTTTGCCCTAGCTTCTGTATCAGTGACCATTCTGCTGCCTGAAATGTCTGATATTTGGCTGCCTATGATTTCTTCCAGGATTATTATGGTTTCACATCTTACATTTAAGACTTTCATCCATTTTTTTAGTTTATTCTTGTATATGATATAGTTGGTGGTATACTTTCTTGGGTGTTTTTTTTTTTACATGTCCAAATATCCCAATTATTGAAGAGATTGTCTTTACTCCATTGTATGCTCTTGCCTCCTTTGTCAAATATTAATTGAGCATAACAGCTTGGGTTGATTGCTGGGTTCTCTGTTCTGTTCCATGGATCTACTAGTATATGCCTGTTCTTGTGCCAGTACCAGGATGTTTTGATTACAGTGGCTTTGTAGTATAGTTTGATATTGGATATTGTGATCTCTCCAACTTTGTTCTTCTTTCTCAAGATTGCTATGGCTATCCAGGGTCTTTTTAGGTTCCATATGAATTTTTGGAGTATTCTAGATCTGTGAAATATGCCTTTGGTATAGTGTCTTCATCTGGTTTTGGAATAATGCCAGCCTCATAAAAAGAGGTTAGAAGTGATCCTCCCTCTTGGATTTTTTGGAATAGATTGAGGAGGATAGATGTTAGTTCTTCTTTGAATATTTGGTAAAATTCCCTTGTGAAGTTGCCTGGGCCAGGGCTTTTGTTTCCTGTGAGTATTTTTATTACTGCTTCAATTTCATAAGTTGCTATCAGCCTATTCAGGTTTTCTGATTCTTCCTAATTCAGTTTTGGAAGATTATATTTTTCTAGGAATTTGTTCATTTCATCCAAGTCATCCACTTTGTTGGCATATAGCTGTTCAAAGTATTTTCTTACAACACTTTGTATTTCTGTGGTGTCAGTTGTCACTTCAACTCTTTAGTTTCTGATTGTATTTATTTGGGTCATCTCTCTTTGTTTCTTTTTTCTCTTTTTTTAATCCTCACCCGAGGATATTTTTCCATTGCTTTTTAGAGAGAGAGAGAGAGAGAGAGAGAGAGAGAGAGAGAGAGAGCTGCATGTACTCCTACTGGGGCTGGGGAACTTGCAATCGAGGTACATGCCCTTGACCAGGAATCAAACCTGGGACTCTTTGGTTCACAGGCCGACACTCTATCCACTGAGCCAAACTGGCCAGGGCTCTCTTTGCTTCTTGATGAGTCTGGCTAAAGGTTCATCAATCTTGTTTATCTTTTCAAAGAACCAGCTCTTGGTTTCATTTATCTTTTGTATGTTTTTAAGTCTCTATGTCATTTATTTTCACTCTGATCTTTATTATTTCCTTCTTTCTACTTGCTCTGGGATTTTCTTGTTCTCTTTTTAATTCTTTAAGATGTAGGGTTAAATAGTTTATTAGAAATTTTTTTTGTCTCTTGAGATAGGCCTATAGTGCTATGAACTTCCGTCTCAGGACTGCTTTCGCTGTGTCCCATAGATTTTTGGTTGTTGTGTGTTCATTTTAATTTGATTCCAGGAAGTGTTTTTATTTCTTCATTGATCTCATTGGTAACCCATTCATTGTTTAATAACTTGCTATTTAGCTTCCATGTGTTTGAATGTTTTGGGGTACTTTTATTGTAGTTGATTTCTAGTTTCATGCCATTGTGACCTGAACAGATGCTTGATATGATTTAAATCTTCTTGAACTTGTAGAGACTTAGTTTGTGTCCTAACATGTGGTCTATCTTTGAGAATGTCCCACGTGTACTTGAGAAGAATGTATATTCTGTAGCTCTGGTTGAAATATTCTGTTAATTAAATCCATTTGAGCTAGTGTGTCTTTTAGTGTCCCTGTTTCCTTGTTGATATTTTGTATGGAAGATCCATCCAGTGATGTCAGGGGTGTTAAAGTCCCTTACTATGATTGCTGTCAATCTCTCCCTTAAAGTCCTCCAGAAGTTTTTTGTTTGTTTGTTTGTTTTGTTGTTGTTGTTAATCCTCACCTAAGAATATTTTTCCATTGATTTTTTTTTTTAGAGAGAGAGTGGAAGGGAGGGGGAAAGACCGAGAGAGAAACATCAATGTGAGAGAGACACATCAATCGGTTGTCTCTCACACATGCCCCAACTGGGGCCAGGAATTGAGCCTGTAACCCAGGTACATGCCTTTGACCAGAATCAAATCCAGGACCCTTCAGTCCAAGGGCTGACACTCTATCCACTGAGCCAAACTGGCTAAGGCCAGACGTTTTTAAAATATATTTGGGTGCTCCTATATTAGATGCATATACGTTTACCAGGGTGATATCCTCTTATTGTATCAGTCCCTTTAGTATTAGGAAGTGGCCTTCATTGTCTTTTGTTCTGGCTTTCATTTTGAAGTCTATTTTGTCAGATGAGTATTGCTACCCCAGCTTTTTTTCCATTTCCATTTGCCTGGAAAATTTTTTCCATCCCTTCACTTTCATCCTATGTGAGTCTTTTGTTCTGGGGTGGGTCTCTTGTAGACAACGTATATATGGGTGACAAAGCTAGTAAAGCAATTGGCAGGTAATATGTTTTCTTATCCATTCAGCTACCCTATGTCTTTTGATTGGAGCAGTTAAGCCATTTACATTTAAGGCTATTATTGATAGGTATTTATTTGTTGCCACTTTTATTCTTTATGCCTGTGCTCCTCTCTCTCTTCTTACAACAGTCCCTTTAGCATTTCTTGCAGTGCTGGTTTGGTGGTAATAAACTTCTTCAGCCTTTTTTTTTTCTATGAAGCTCTTTATTTCACCTTCACTTTTGAATTATAGCCTTGCTGGATAGAGTAGTCTTGGATTCAGTCCCTTACTTTTCATTACTTTGTATACTCATGACACTGCCTTCTGGCTTGAAGTGTTTCTATTGAGAAATCAGCTAGAGGTCTAATGGGAGCTCCTTGTAGGTAACTTTCTGTCTCTCTCTTGCATCCTTTAATATTTTTTCTTTGTCTTTAACATTTGGCATTTTATTTATGATGGGTCTTGGTGTGGGTCGTTTTGGGTTCACCTTGATTGGGACACTCTGTTTCTTGGATTTGTGTGACTTTTTCCTTTACCAGGTCAGGGAAGTTTTTTCTGTCATTATTTCTTCCAACAGGTTCTCTATTCCTTGCTCAGATTCTTCCAGCACCACTATGATGTGGATGTTGTTACATAGTATGTTGTCCCAAAGCTTCCTTCAACTCTCCTCCTGCTTCTTAATTTTTCTTCCAATTGCTGCTCTAAATGGGTGTTTTTTTCTATCCTGTCTTCTAATTCGCTGATTCAGTCCTCAGCTTCTTCCAGTCTACTGTTGATTCCATCCAGGGTATTTTTTATTTCAGCTATGTCATTTTTCATTTCTGATTGATTCTTATTGCAGGTCCATGCATCCAGGTGGGCCATGTGTCAAGATGGCTGAGTAGGATGTGCACGCTGCTTGTCAAGGCAGCAGGGTTGGCCCTAAAATGTGAATATTAATAGGGCTTACCCATAGAGTTGTCATGAGGGTTAAGAAGAAAAATACAAGTACATAGTAAGCACTTCATTAATATTAGTTATTATTATTATGCCTGAGGCAGCCTGCCCATTGCTTTACTAGCTTTGTCACACAATCATCAAAACAATCATAGGCAAATAAGGGAATAGAGGATCAGAGATGGTGCCTGCCATACCAAAGATTGCACAAAATTCAGAAGCTCGGCCATCTAACTCCAAAAATGGAGAGCTCAATCACCGAAAGCTCTAGCACCTCCTCCCACCCCACCCTCACTCAGGGAATGTCCAAATGCAGGAAGGCTAAGTGAACAGAACAGTCCTAGGGGAGAGTGTCCTTCTCCTTAAAACTTTGTGGGTGGTGGGTATAGCGGAGAAGGCTGAATTTAGGGAGTAGATTGTAAATTGTTAGGGGGTGGAGATGGGGGCAGCAGTGTGCCCATCATAAGCCCTCTGAAGATCACTACTTTCTGTGGACAATGAAGTGAACAAACTTCCCTAAGACTGCAGTGGTGCCCTAGACCTGGGAATGGTGTTCTGGCCCCTTCAGAGTCCTTTCTTCCCTCCCCTTAGACACGTGTCCCAAAATCAAAGTACATTGTGATACGAACGAAATAAACCAATGTCTAAAGAGCAGACAGTGCCCAGAGAAGATGAAGTGTTGCAACTTTAACTGTGCAAGGAAATGTTTAAACCTCAAACAAGGTAACTCAGAAATCCCCTGAACTATCCAATGCCTACACACCCTACCCCCACTTTCTGCCCACCTACACTGACATTACTAGACCACTTCCCTGGTTCACTGATGGCTGGTGTCTGATCAAGACTCTGGGTGCATCTTTTAATTAATACAAATCCTGGATTTGGAAGGAGGGGGTGTTGGGAGTCATGGGTTTTATTTCTTTTCTGTTCATATTTAGGTATGTGATGTGGGTGACGGAGTTTTTCCTTTATGGGACTTAGTTTCCCATCTGTAAGAAAGATGGGAGGGGGGAAGTGGCATTAGATCACATTGTCTCTTGGCTGCTTTTCTGTGATCCTCTGAGATGCCAAATAGCCAGTGAAGTCCCATCAAATGCCAACAGAGAGCCAGGTGATAGAATAGCTATAAGACACAGGTAGACGATTTTTATTTCCTGGTTGTGCTTTTTCTAGGCCTCTTTGTCTATATAAATCCAAAATGCCTTCCCTAACCACCTTTGTCCTCCTTCACTCTTTCCTCTCTGCTCATATAATTGAGCTCTAAAGAAGAACATCAAGGAGTACTCATCCATTCATTCATTTTACAAATATTTACTGGTTCCCCTGACACCAATGATAGGTCCACTTACTCAGTGTAGCCAGGGAACTCAGTAAAGTTTTTCCAGGTAAAAAGATCCACAATTTAAGACCTGTGAGATCTTAAATGATATGGTTCTGAAAAAAAACAACACAAAAACACACACAAAAAAAACCCTCTCTTTATTCCCCTTAGCACTATGTACAAAATATTTGCTCTATAAATGTTTTTTGAAGTTCAGGATACATTTGATTTTTTAAAATATTTTAAATTAATTTTTAGAAAGAGGAAGGGAGAGAGAGGGAAACATTGATATGAGAGTGAAACATGGATTGGCTGTGCCCTGTATGCCCCCTACTGGGGATCAGCTTGCAACCCAGAATGTGTCCTGACCAGGAATGAACCTGTGACTTTTCAGTGCACAGGACGATGCCCAACCAACTGAGCCACATTGGCGATTTTATTTTTTTTATTCATTCATTCATTCAGTGTGTGTGTGTGTGTGTGTGTGTGTGTATGTGTTTTACTGTGAACATTCCTGAAGCATCCACTCAGTGCCAAATTATCTACAAGGAACTGGTGTACCAAGATGACATAAGGCACAAATCTCACATTCTCATGGAGGAGTCAGAAAATACAAACAAATAATTACATAGAAGTGGCAAATGTGTGTGCAAGACTGAGAAGCAATACAGAAAAGCAAGGAGTGAAGCATGGAGCCAGGAAAGGCAACATAGAAGTGTTTGATGACTGAGAAGTGTTTGAATAATGAAAAGGGATGTACCTAGTGGGCAAGAGAGAGGTGGACATTCCAGGCATGTGCAAAGGCATGGAGGGGTGAAAGAGGCCACTCCTCCATGACTTTGCACATCTCTAAAATGTTCTCTAGGGAGGCAGGCACCCAAACTGCTCTACTCTGCAATCTCCTTGCAGACATATGCAGTTTGCCAAAGGTAGCTGGCCCCTGCCTGGCCTTCTTTCCACGCTGGTGGTATGATGAGGAAACTCAGGCATGCTCCAAATTCATCTATGGTGGTTGCCTAGGGAACAACAACAACTTCCAATCTGAATCTATCTGCAAGACCATCTGCAAAAAAAAGAAAGTAAGTCCCACAGGTCCTATTTCCCATGCTCACCTGGGCTACCCTGGGAGGTCTGGGTGTTGGCCGGTCTGTTCTAGGAACTTGGCAGGTTTGGGGCTGATATAACCAATTCAATCAGGAAGTAAGAATGCACCTTTGAAGGGGTAAGTAGAGGAAAAAGAGGGTGGGAAGGGAAGCAGTAGTCAAAGTTGGCAAGTATGAGATGAATAGAGGGTACATAGAAAGCTGAAGTGGTGAAGGGTCTGAGACCAAGTCAGAAGAAGGCCCAGTAAATAAGCCCAGTGCTTGGCACGAATCAGACAGTCACTCCAGGCCATTACTTCTCACCAAACCTCATCAACAATTCTCTTCCCTTTCCTTCTTAAGGTGATTATAGCTAGGACAACCACATGCTACATTGATGACATGAAGATACTTTTGAGAGCAAAAGGAAATACCATTAATTATGTTATTGGGAAAACAGACATAAACTGGGACTTTAATGGAAAACCAGAACATGTGATCACTCTCTGAGCCCCTGAAGTCACTCCACTTCTGTTTTCTCTTCCTGTGAAAAGATGCCAAATGATCTTATCTCAAACACTTCCACACCTTTCTTCTCTCTTTCTCTGGCGTATATCTTATCTCTATTTCTCCTAAATGCTAAGGATCCTGGCAAGACTTGCAACCAGGGGAGCAGTGGGCAGTGGCAGCGCATCCTGGCCTCATCCCCTGAACCTGTCTTCAAGGCTCCCTTTTCTCTGACTTTATAATGAGCTAACAGAAGCCCCACCTTGGCTCACTTCTGTCACTGACATTTACTTCTCAGTGAGTCCACACTGCCCTGCATGGCTCACTTCTTTCCTATAATGTTTCTATAGAGCCAAAGCAGGACACCACTTAGCCTCTCTCCTGTTGCTTCTTCTACCCTAAGCCCTTCCTTTGTTTCACTGTCCCCAGAAAAAACATACTCTAAAAATCACACACACACACACACACACACACACACACACACACACACACATGCAGATCTTACCTCTCTTTTTCCATTAACTGCAAGACTTAGTTCATATGGGGATTAAAGTCCAAGTATCTCACCCTTTTCTTTTCTGCTATCTCACAGGGTCGTGGTCTTAAGTAGGATAACCTAAGCTGAAACCACCTCCAGAATTTTGCTCATAATACAGGCTCTCTCCATGTGTGCTTGACTGATGTCCCATATTGGTTTTTGCTGGCCAAGTCTCCGCTGCCAAGACCTTGGCTCTTCCAAACACCAATCCCCAGGATTTGTTTATTCCTGCAGCTCAACTTCTCTTCAAATATAATGCCCATCGCCCTTTGACCCTGTATCTTCAACTCTCGGGCCCCCATTTATCCTTTGGAAGCCTCCAGTTTTCCCTAATAAAGTGCTCCGTGAGGTCTGATATCTCTGAGGCTGAATAATTCACATTTGCTCCCTGGTGCAGTTTTTGGAAAAGAGGTCATTGGATCTCCTGGGGACGTCAAAAGAGAGAGAGAGGAGTAGAAAAATCCTGCAAATTGAGAACTCTGGTGACACTGTTTCCTGATAAAATTGTCATAAGATGCTTAAGAATGGAACCAGAGCTGATTCATGTTTCGTATGGTCTAAAGCTTATAAAGTTAGGGGGTTCATTTCATAAACAAATACAAATTAAAAAGTGAATATTCTTCAAATGAGAAAGAAAATTGCAACCAATTGCAAATTTTAAAAAGCTAACAAATACCACATGTTGCATAAGATCCATATAGATTAATTATTAAGTTTTTACATATATGACAGCAATTCTACAAAACTCAATTTCTGTGGAAAGATAATTCAGTCTTTTGTTGAACATGGTTGAACAAAAATTACTATATTTTTATTTTGGTTGTAGTTGGGATGCATACAATAGAAGCATGAATGCACAGCCATACTTGATATTTGTGTCCTAAAAACACGGGAATTTAAATTCTCTTTTGCACGATTCCATCAAGAAGCCTAGTTGGGACAGGGTAGGGTGCAGGAATGCTCCTCTCAGGACCTCAGTTTTCCAACCATGAGTTGAAGGTGGTGGACTAGTGTCAAAGAATACTTCTAAATTTGAGAAGATAAGGCAGCTCAGGAGCCCTGCCCAATCTGATAGGCACTTGGGGCTTTTCCAACCCATTGGTGCTTCTCAATCCTTGCTTAGGGTTGAAGTACATGAGTGGCTGGAAAAGAATCATCCGTCCTAGGGGCTCATGAACCAGAGAGGTCCTTGGAAATAGCCAGAGTGTGCCCTGTAGTTGATAGTTTCTGCTCACCTGCTGAGAATGAGCCCAGAGCCCTTGTGACTGAGTAGGGAACTTCATGCCTTATGAAGACCTCAGTGAAAGATGCTGCATGTCTTTGTTAATTGTTTGTACATTTCTCTGCCCATTAAAACCCAGGGAACACCTCGAGTGGAATGTTTTGGTGTTATTCATGGTGCCATGCAGACCTGAGATCCCCCTCATCTTCCTCTCCCTTTTAGTCTCACCTCAGAGCTTCCTGCAGAGCCAGAAATGCCCAGAGGAAGCTGTGGATGGTTTGAAAATTCAGGAAATGTCCAAGCTGAGGATATTAGAGAGCCCCACCAGCCCAAATAACCCTCCTTATTTTTTTATACATGTACAAATGGAAGCTTCTAGTAGGAAATAGACATCCAAGATACACAGCAAATCAATAGCAAAACTGGAGCTAAAATCCAGGTTTGAGTGTAACAAGGTGTTGCCAGATCCCACAGCCTTGTTGGAAATCAGGGTGGATATAATGGCTACTTGTCACTTCGTTGTTTTAATATTCAGCATTTCTTTTTTCGTTTTTTTAAATTCTTTTTTTAAAAAATCTTTATTGTTGAAAGTATTATATATGTCCCCTTCCCCTGCCCTCCAATATTCAGCATCTTAATGCCATTCCTACAGTTGAAGAATTCCCTACCACGGGGAGTCTTTGTGTAAAGTAACACCAGTGTTCCATTATGAAAGTTGAAAGGCCAGACTCTCACTCTATTGGTCGGGTTTAGTAATGGACACAGAAACCATACTCAGTATTTCAAGAGAAAATGTAATACTGAGATTTGGTTACATGATTATTGGGAGGATCTGAGCATCGGAAAGAACTGGAGCTTGTGTAGGAATCAGAGAGAACATTTTCTCCAAAATAACAGGAGAAAGTGAGACTAGTTCCATGAATAATAGCAAAGGCTTTGGGCTTGGGCATCTGGATTCTAATGCTGGCCCAGCCATTAATTTCTAGGGGACAATAAGCAAGTCATTCTTCTCTCTGGGACCCAGTGACCATACTTGCACCATTGGGAGAGAACAAACGAAGGACCTTCCTCACATCACTGGGGCACTTCCTTGGCTCTCATCCTTACTGGCCCCAGTGATGTTCAAAAGATATCAGTGGTGTTAGTGATGGGAAAAGTGTGGACCTGTGCCCAGCAATAGGTGATCCAGTAAAGCACTGTAGACCACACACGTTCCAGGAAGACCTGGGAGTCCAAGCCCTTGTGCTATGTCTGCCTCTCACCAGGTGAGCGGCACTCTAGGGCAATAACATATCAGGAAGGGAGAACTGAGTCAATATAACTGTTATTGAGACCTAGGTTTTGTGTTGGAAGGACAGTTTCCTCTCTAATTTAACAAGTACTGCTATATGAACTGCTGTAAGATATCTCAAACAACTTGAGCAAGTCTTCTGAGGAAGATGGGCAAACATCATAGAATCTTTTAAATTCATTGTTTGCCATTGAGCAGGTCAAGGATTTTTTTCTGTAGCCAAATCACCTAAGTGGCTGACCAATACCAGTGCATTAAAAACTCAGTGATAGAGTCTTTAAAAAACTGAATTAAAATAAAATGAAAGGTCTCAAGGTGACTCTGATATAAGTTCAGGACTACTGGTCTAAAACTCTTCTGATTTAATATCACACTTCTGATTTATATAATTTCCTTGGGTCTTGTTGTCCTCATCTATGAAATATGCAAAACAATAAAACCAGTGTCATGGAGTTTTTAACAGGCACACAAGATGAGTTATGTAAAATGTGCATAACATACTGCCTTGGATGTTAATGTTCCATAAACAATAAAGATTAGTATTATTGCCCTAACCGATTTGGCTCAGTGAATAGAGTGTCGGCCTGCGGACTGAAAGGTCCCAGGTTCGATTCCGGTCAAGGGCATGTACCTTGGTTGCGGGCACATCCCCAGTGGGAGGTGTGCAGGAGGCACCTGATCCATGTTTCTCTTTCATCGATGTTTCTAACTCTCTATCCCTCTCCCTTCCTCTCAGTAAAAAATCAATAAAATATATATATTTTTTAAAAGATTAGTATTATTATTAGAACAAACGTAGTAAAAAAAGGTAAGCACCCCTTTATGATATCAACCACTCAGATGCAAACCTTGTAGGGTCCCAGCTTCCAGAAAAGGGGTCAACCTGGAGCTTCCCACTGTGAACAGTTTCCATGTCCTGTGAATAAAGCTCCGGGCTCCTGGGTTCATAGAACCTTTCTCCCTCCTCTATTTATATTCAAGCTCTTCGGCACAGAGTGCTAATAATTACCTTCTGTAAAAATTCTACTTGGATTTCAGAAGATATAAATTAACTCTCCTCTTAAAGTCATCAACCTTATTTTGCTCCCTACACATTTATTTTGAATATAAATAAGGTAAAAAAAATAGAAATAAACTTTCTTAGTACGTGTATGCTCATAATAAATGTATTTGTTATATGTATAAGCAAGTCCTCTCTCTAAGTCCCTGTTCCCCTGTTCTGTGAGATGAAGATGATGATAATATCTCTCCCAAGGACTTTTTTAGAAGAGTGTAATGAGACAAGGCAGAGAATCCTCTGACATATTGTTGGTGTTGAAGTGATGTCAGTTTCCTTCTCCCTTCTAGAAAAGATAAAGGTTTTGTGGAGTTTAGAATCTGACTGGGAAAACTTTATTCTTTCAAAATCCCACCCACATTTACTTCCCCGTCTCTACGCCACCCAGATCAATGGGTCTCAATCAAAAGTAATTTCATTCTTTACACACATATATGGTTGACATAGGGTTTGTAAGACTCCTATGATGAGTACAAGTGCTAAATAACTAGCAAGAGCTTCCTGCTAGTTTCTCGAATGTGCTTTTAATAAATCTTACACTTGCCCTCCATGTTTTGGAATGTTTTAACCTTACCACCCAAATCACCTGAGGAAGAGCCAAGTCACTGAGTTGAGGCCAAAGATCCCCCAGGGCAACCCAGGTACAGAGTGGATTTCAAAGGCCAGTACCTCCCACACCACCCACAAGGCCTGTTCAGCCAAATAAGTACATCAAATACATCAAATAAGTACAGGCACATCTCATCAAGCACTGCCCTCACTGCATGGAGTCCTTATCACACTGCTCAGGTTGGAAATATTTTTTTTAATATATTTTATTGATTTTTTACAGAGAGGAAGGGAGAGAGATAGAGAGTTAGAAACATCGATGAGAGAGAACCATCGATCAGCTGCCTCCTGCACATCTCTTACGGGGGATGTGCCCGCAACCCAGGTACACGCCCTTGACCGGAATCGAACCTGGGACCTTTCAGTCCGCAGGCCGATGCTCTATCCACTGAGCCAAACTGGTTTCGGCTGGAAATATTTTTATAATTAAAAAATACTTATATCCATAACTCTTCTGCAGGGTTTCTAACCGTGGCACTATTGACGTTTGGGGGCAGCTCATTCTTTGTTGTGGGGCTATCCTGTGCATTGCAGGATGGTTAGGTTAGCAGCATCACTGGCCTCTGCCAGTAGGCGCCCCCATCCCCCCCCAAGTTGTGACAATCATAAATGTCTCTAGACATTGCCAAGTGTCCTGGGGGGTAGAATCGCCTCCTCCCAAGATGAAAATTGCCCTTCTGAACTGTGTTTTAAACGGTCAGTTTTCACTTCCTGGTCCGCTGCTCTAGAAGAGGGAGCAATGCGGGAGCTCTCATCCAAGAGCACCGATAGGCAGTCCTGCCTTACTCTGTTGGAACGGCAACTGCCAGTCTGTTCATGCCCTGGGGACCTCCTTCTGCCATTATTTTGGTTTCTGGCTAACAAATTTGATAATCCAAGAGAGCTAAGGAAAG